ATCACGTATGGCACTTAACTGACAACTTCTCACTTAACGACCAGCTTTTTTAACGACCAGCTCGTTTAGCGACCAGCTCGTTTAGCGACCAACTCTTTTAACGACCAGCTCGTTTTGCGACCAGGTCGTTTAGCCATCAGCTCGTTTAGCGACCAAGTCTTTTAACGACCAGCTCGTTTTAATGGCTATCTCCTTTAACGATCGGTTCGTTGGATCGTAACCTGGTCGTTAAGTGAGTCGCGGTTGGCTGTAATACGATATAGGTACTCTATATAGTAGTTGATACTCTAAAATACTCCGTGACATGTCGTTGATTCCTACTAGTGGCTTGTCTCTTACCTTTTCTAAGCGTACCTTTTAAATAACTCCCAAAGTTCAACTCGAGCAGCTTCACCCCGACTCCAAGAAGGATGTTTTTTTTCGGATCACCACAATCTTAACCTGTTCAAATTTAGGGTTACCCGTTATCTGCTCCACATACCCCCCCCAAAAAAATATACCCCTTACTCTGTAACCCTCTACCTCAAGTGGCTCCCCGGCCTTATGCAGGGTGAACCTCACTGAAAAAAATAATCTTCCGTTATTCTCATTTTAGAGAATATTTGGTGGAGTAACTAATTTTAGGGCTGGGAAGAAGCTGACCTGTTTGTCGGACGCGGTTTGAGTTTTGAAAGAAATCTAGACTTTGGAGTCCAAAGCTAAGAAAAATATGTCTTTTATTTTCTTTATTTCCCTTTTACTCATTGGGAACACTACACCAGATTTCAAACGAATAAACAAATCAGCTGCGAAAGCGCAAGGTGATGAGCGAACAGCCACATCTTCATCTACGAAAAGGGTCAAATGTCAGTTTTTGGTCAGCTGTTTTCAAACGATGACCTTAGAACGAAAATTGTGCTTCTGGAAAAGCGATTCAAAGTTTGGCTTTGAAATTCAGGAAGCGTTGATTTTAAACGTAAAAGCCTGTCAAACGATGTAGAAAAAATAAACAATAATGGCGAGTCCCAAATAAAATAGGAAGATTCTGTAGCGTCAATGTTAGTTGAAAGAAATATTAGAGAGGAGATCTAAATACTGGCAGTGTGTTGCGTGAAGGAAATTTAAATTTAAAACTACTAGTCAACGTCGAGTAACAAGCACATGAATTTACGTTGATATGAAAATTTTTCAAAAAGAAAGAAAGAAAAAAATTATTATATCAAAAACAAAAAATGAATGATGGTAAAAAAGAAAGAAAGAAATGAATGAATTATTATATGAGAAATGACAGAAGAATGACCTTACAACAGAAATAAAGGGACTGAAAAAGAAAGAAACAAAGAAAGAAAGAAAGAATGAATGAGCGTTCTTAAACGAGAAAAAATGAAACAAACACAGAAAGAAAGAATGAGGTTAAGAAAGAAAGAAAGAAAGAAAGAAAGAAAGAAAGAGAGACAGACAGACAGACAGACAGACAGAAATGATTAAAACAAAAAAGAAAGAAAGAAAGAAAGAAAGAAAGAATGAATGAGCGTTCTTAAACGAGAAAAAATGAAACAAACACAGAAAGAAAGAATGAGGTTAAGAAAGAAAGAAAGAAAGAAAGAAAGAAAGAGAGACAGACAGACAGACAGAAATGATTAAAACAAAAAAGAAAGAAAGAAAGAAAGAAAGAAAGAAAGAAAGAATGAATGAGCGTTCTTAAACGAGAAAAAATGAAACAAACACAGAAAGAAAGAATGAGGTTAAGAAAGAAAGAAAGAAAGAAAGAAAGAAAGAAAGAGAGACAGACAGACAGACAGACAGACAGAAATGATTAAAACAAAAAGAAAGAAAGAAAGAAAGAATGAGATCAAAACAGAAAGAATGAGGAAAAAGAAACAAACACAGAAAGTAAGAATGAGATTAAGAAAGAAAGAAAGAAAGAAGTAAATGAAGAAAGAAAGAAAGAAAGAAATAAGTAAATAAATAAATAAAGAGAGAAAGAAAGAAAGAAATGGGTTAAAAAAGAAAAATGAAAGAATTGAATGAATAAACATAAAGCAAGAATGAGATCAAAACAGAAAGAATGACTGTGGTTAAGCATGATGAAAATGAAACAAACGCAGAAAGAAAGAATGAGATTAATACAGAAAGAAAGAAAGAAAGAAAGTGATTAAAACAGAAGAAAGAAAGAAAGAAAGAAAGAAAGAAATACTGATACAAACCAGAAAGAAAGAGTCCCCAAATTTCTGCAAAAAGCATCAATTTTACGTCAGCTCACCGATACTAAGCAGCAATGAACCTGATCAGTCCTTAGATCAGTGACTCTCTCAAGAACACCTGGTATTCTAAATCCAGCTTTGTGGTTTTGTACAAGAGAAAACTCAAAAAGAAAATAAAGGCGCTCATAGAGAGAAAGATTTTCAGTTTTATAGCAATCGATAGCAACTTCACCGGTAATTCACATTTATTAGTAAATTCTTTTGCCATTAACAGCTTCCCTACTTTGACCCAGAGACAATTAATAGTAGTAACTATG